TCAGTGGTGGAGCTGGCACTGACCGCATGCCTCCCTTACGCCCTGCAGTACAACACCACCACCCAGAGGGACACCGGGCAGGGTAAGATAACCATCACCATCCCGCTGGCCCAAAACCCGGGAGCATCATCGGCCAGCGCTCACCCACAGCAGCAGCCACCGCTGGGAGCGTTTAGTGTCCTTTCACCGAGCCAGTGTCCACTGCAGCCCGCCAACAATCCCGTCAAAACAAACGCGAAGGCCTCTGTTTCTGCCAACGCCCCTTCCAACTCGAGTTCCTGCGGTAGCCAAGTACCAGGACCTTGCCCCACAACTGTACCCACGCACACCCCGGGACCGGGGCCCCTGCCGGCCCCCGCAGTCACTCACAGCACCGCTCAGAGCGATTCCTTGTCCTACATCAACAGCTCCAGCCTGCCAGTTACGCCACAGGCCAGTGGGATGCAGCAGCAGGGGGGCTGCAACTCCTGTGGCTGCCGTGGTACCTGCGGGGGCAACAGCGCCCACCAGACACCCAGCTACTTCCTGCCGCCCCAGCCTGCCCGTCAGATGTTCGGGCCACCACCCCAGTTCTTCCATCTCCCTCCGTCTCTATGCAACAGTTTCCCTGCCCAGGGTCACCAGAATAACGGGACGCCTCTGCCCTTCTACGCCCACACCGGTCCTCCTGCGGCGTTCCTACACGCTCACTCGGATCACATGCTGGCGTCACCGGCGGGATACAGCCTGCCTCAGATGCCCCCCTTCCGTCACTTTTATCCACCTGTCTTTCCGCCGGTTGGCATGATGTCTAGCGGAACCAACATGAAGAAGACCAACAATGTGTCCTGCTATAACTGCGGCTTGAGCGGACATTACGCTCAAGACTGCAAGCAACCGTCCATCGACACCGGGCTGACAGGTATGAAGATGCCAGAAACGCTCTACAAGTATGCAAACACAGATGTGATTTATTTCAGATGTGAAAATTTTTTGCATATGCCCTGATTGGGTATTTAACATTTTTTGAATAGTAATAATAAATTACATTTAGTAATTGAGCTGGTACTTACAAATGAAGGGGAAAAAAGCAATATATGTATACACACACACACACAATATTTAGTTACAAGTTTTCTTGAAAAAATAATTAAAATTTTACTTTATTTTACTTTTGCACATCCCCATTTATCTCATTGTATATTTTGAAATGTTTAAAAAAACAACACGTTTAGTTATTTAGCTGATACTAATGAGAAACAAATTTATACTTTTGCACATCCCCATTTCTCATTGTATATTTTAAAGTGTTTAATAAAAAAAATATACGTTTAGTTATTTAGCTGACACTGAGAAATTTATATACTATCTGTCCATCTCTCTCTTTCTGTATATATGTACACAGTAGTAGCAGTAATGAAAAAATGTGGAAAACTATTCCTTTTTTATTGTTTTATTAATTTGTAAATAATAAAAGATTACCTTTTTGTAAATAGGGCTATATTTTCTTTGTAACGTTATATATCAAAAAGAGATTGCTTTGCAGGAGCATTATGAAAGGAGTAACGTTAGTTTAAAAACTATAGTTGCCTATATAACTATAAAACATCATAACTATATCATAAAACTAAATATCTCGCCATTTACTCACCTGTAGCAGTAATGAAAAAATGTGGAAAACTATTCCTTTTTTATTGTTTTATTAATTTGTAAATAATAAAAGATTACCTTTTTGTAAATAGGGCTATATTATTTTCTTTGTAACGTTATATACCAAAAAGAGATTGCTTTGCAGGAGCATTATGAAAGGAGTAACGTTAGTTTAAAAACTATAGTTGCCTATATAACTATAAAACATCATAACTATATCATAAAACTAAATATCTCGCCATTTACTCACCTTATGTCGCTTTTAAACTCACTGGGCTTTTTCATCCGTTAAACAAGATTGATGGAACAGAGGATGGTGATTAACGGTGGGTGAACCTTTAATAAATCATATAAAAATACCATAACAGTATATATATATATATATCCGTGTGCGTGAAGTCATTCGGTTATTTTGGATTTGAGGTTTTTTGTTGTTGTTTTGTGGGTGTATATATATACAGTGGGTACGGAAAGTATTCAGACCCCCTTAAATTTTTCACTCTTTGTTATATTGCAGCCATTTGCTAAAATCATTTAAGTTAATTTTTTTTCCTCATTAATGTACACACAGCACCCCATATTGACAGATAAACACAGAATTGTTGACATTTTTGCAGGTTTATTAAAAAAGAAAAACTGAAATATCACATGGTCCTAAGTATTCAGACCCTTTGCTGTGACACTCATATATTTAACTCAGGTGCTGTCCATTTCTTCTGATCATCCTTGAGATGGTTCTACACCTTCATTTGAGTCCAGCTGTGTTTGATTATACTGATTGGACTTGATTAGGAAAGCCACACACCTGTCTATATAAGACCTTACAGCTCACAGTGCATGTCAGAGCAAATGAGAATCATGAGGTCAAAAG